TCTGGGCGGCTCGCAATAAGGATTCTGACCTTCCTTGACAGAGTCGAGACTGCATCCGCAAGGATACGCAAAAGGTCGCATTGAACCTCTGGGTCTTGGCATTCGTCCCATCCGTCAAGGACTATGAGTCGAACTTTTTGTCCAAGGAGGTTTTTGAAGAAACGTAGAATAGACCGTTGCTGTAATGGGTGCACAAACAATGAAGCCATCTGAACACCACGGGCGCGTGTAAAGATGATAGGGTTCTTTCGAATCTCGGCGTCGATGAACGGCCTGGTTTCTGGCAGGGATTGACGGAGCTGGAAGATGATGGTTGGGATCAAACAATCACCGTTCGAGCTACTGGATGAGCCTGCGGCTCTAGAAAAGAAGAAACTGGCAATAAGAGTTTTCTTCTGTCCAAACAACTCCGCAATGGTTTGGCAGATGGCAGATTTCCCGCAGCCAGCTGAACCTCGTAGCCACATAATCGGAGGTGAGGTGTCGTTGTTGACCCAATCAATGATTTCTTGGATTATCTCGTCTCGAGTTTGAGGCTCGCATCTTGGAGGGTCATAACGCCGGTTCGAGTCGACGAGGGCGTCAAGCGCGCAGTGAAATAAGATTAGGCGAACGGGGTCTATATGCACAGTTTTAGCTAAGTACTGTTGGAATACTGACCGTGATTGTAATACTTACTTGTGTAATTCGGAACATTTTCCTGATTATTCAAGACATCTCCTCCAGAGAAGATGTTTGTCCCATGCAGCTGAAAGTTTGACGCGCGAGAGAAGAATGCTGTTGATTCAAATGCGCGCGATCGCAAGTTCATGAAAGCGAGCGAAGAAGCGGCGAGTGGAAAGCCAACGGGTCACTCTGCCCTAGCTAGCAGCTCGGCCCGACAATTAGGGCCGCCCTTTTCCCATACCTTCAAATGCCCTCCGGGTGGGCCTGTGCACCACACGAACTCTAGGCACAACTAGAGTACTCAGACATTTACACTTAATTACTACTAATACACCAATCTCGAAATACTAACTGTACTCCAGTAGGGTAAACAGTTTGTTGGCTTGCATTCCAAATCAACACAACATGGCCGTCAAACTTGCCTCGAACCCACTCGACCTCAACCATCGTATCATGACCAAGGAGGAGGCTCTTATTCAACAAAGCCGCGACGTGTACCTTCGCAAGAATACACGCTGCCGTCCAATGCCGTGCTGCATATCTGTCTCGGACCAGCGTTGAAGGAAAGGATAGAAAAGGAGCTGATGTGAGTACCACAACGTCCTCAATCGCTAGATCCTTCAACGAACATGCCAGGGGGGAGCTGCCTTGCATTGGACGTCGAAATGGCAGCAATGACAAACACGGACGGTGTGTCAATGCCCGCACAGGGACGCTCTGGGATCAAGAACACGAACGAAATAACGCAACGCAGAAGACATATAGAGTTTGAAATGTCCACAATGACTTTACCCGCCGATCAGGCAAGATTCCTGTCTCCGCCAAATATAGATAACCAGTGAGATATTCCTTGGTTCAATAATTGGCACATAATAGCCTTACGGACTTTTTAGCACCCCACTGCCGTCTACCACCAATTAATCTTCCACATCTTCTCCAACACCAAGCGCAGCATTTCAGGAGTTGTCACCAGAGGAGCTACTGCTTATCCAGACAAAGATGGAGTTATTGGGATGCAGATGTTGAAAACGAAGGACAAAAAACGATCTAGCAAAAGCGTAGGTGTTCTGTCCTACCTTCAGGTCTCCAATGAAAATGATATGATCAAACAAATCTTACCCATCGGAGCCTGAAATTTCAAACTCAATAAAGTATCAACTAACCTTCCCACTAAAGTGTACAGGCATTGACCGCCACAGTTGAACAACGCTTCGAAATTGAAAGCTCATGTTCAAACTTTTGGGATTTGAAAACCTTCCGGTGGAGGTTTGTTCGCTCTATTATTATTATTTTGGAAATAAATCTAAATTTAAATTCACTTCTCTAGCTGCTGCACGAAGTCCAGCTATTTGTGGTCTCCGAGCATCTACCTCATATATCTCGATATTTTCATGACGTTTTCAAGCACGCTTCACCTCATTTCTCTGCCCAATATCTACTATTTCGCATCGAAGACGAAGCAGATCTTGACACATCCGAAATCTATACTCATGCTCTTCGGTATCCAATATGCAGTCAACCAGTGCTTCATGCTCTTCATTCAGTTATGAAGCACAGGCCTCGTAAAGGCAAAGGCTATGTTCACCTTCCAACCCGACTATTTAGATCTCTTGTATCGCCAGCATCAGTTTGGACGACCAAAGACGAGCCCATCCCGTTTCTCCGATATCTTTTTGACACTCCCGGCATTCCCAAAATTGACACCAACTATCCCGACGGGTACGCCTTAACAAAAGCCGTTCACGCTCGATCCATTCCTCTGGTTGAACTTCTCCTTGAACATCATGCATCTCCAAAACATCGTGACAATCTTTCTGTCAAAGTTGCTATTCGACAAAAGGACCTTCTGATGGTTAAACTTCTCGTAGAACGTCGTTTGGCGAAAAAAGGAAAGAACAAAAAACGGAAACTCGAAGATCGAGTACAACTTGATTCTATGTTACTTAAGATTGCTGTAAGCGTTGGAGCGACAGACATCGTGGATTATCTGTACAAAGAAAAAGGTGTTGTTCCTGATGTACAGACTCTGAAAAATTTACGATGATGTGAGGCAAGTGAAATTTATTGGAGAGACCAACTTTGTTGATAAGATCTGCAGATTCCCGTCTTTTAAATAGATCATATGTCGGCCCTGCATTGATTCTAAAGCGGATATGCTCCAACGCTGCGTATTGACGGTTCTGTTTCGGTAGTCAGAAAGAGACGCATCTTCAGGAATCTGCGTTGGGTGCCAATGTTCAGGTTGATGTACCTCGTTGGTGTTTGCATCGTTCTAGTCCTTAAGGCAAAGCTCTATACGACCTTCAATCGTCAAGGTAAATCTCTTTATATATATGATAGATCAAACCTGATAGTTCCACCCTATAGAATTACCCAGCTTCGCTCGATCATGGAGCACCACACCAAATTTTTCAAAACAACGCAACTCCCCTTCGCAGTCTGGCTCCATTCGGTGCCTAACCCTCCATCCAGCTCTAACAACTGTTAAAATTGACGGATCGCCCCTATCGCCAAACGAGAAGCCATATAAGAACAAGAGAATGCACTTATCTTCGTGACCCAGCTCCCGCGATCAACCTTCACTGAAATGCCTGCCGCGGTGAAGAAAGCCAAGTCAAAAGCTAACAGAACGGGAAGACGCACAAATCGCGAGAAGGAAGACTAGGACCGCTGGTTGAAGGACGCGAGCCTGGGCAGCTGTCCAGAAGCCTTCGAAAGTCGAAGTATCATTCTGCGCTTGCATCCTGTACGTTACCTCTATCGGTTTGTCAACGCTATTCGCTCACCTGTGATCAGAAATGCGACGCTTGCGTCGAAGGGTGCACTTTGTCTCGACCAAACAGTGTGAGTCTTCGCTGCCAACCATGTCGTGTGGGCAGGAGGCGCTGTCTTCGCCAGATCACTTTTGAGATCTGTTTCATCGCGAAGATGATGTCGAAATCTCAAGGATGGGTCTCTACTGTCAACAATGGCGGTCTTCCTGATGACGGTCCACAAAATCCGACTACGATCACGGCCAATACAAGTGTGGCTACTCGGCACGCAATTACAGATGCAGACCCAAGGTTAGCCGGCAATAAAATTGGAGAGACCTCTTCTCCTGAGCATCGTGCCCACCCCAGGAAAGAGTGGTGATTGTGCCCCGACATGTCTGATTCGGAAGGCCAGGAAGAAGATCTCAAAATGCTGTTAAGAACGAAGCAAAGTACGAGGAGCAAGCAGGGGGGTTGATTACTCCCCATGAAGACGATCCTGCTGAGGTGAATGATCAAGTAGCCAAAATCGATGATAAGCTCGACCCAGGTTGGTGTCTAATAGTAATACCGTATACAACGTCTCTCGCTGATCACATGACCGGCCATAGTCAAGCTTAACAAGAAACTCGTTCTATACAGATCGTTCCTTTTCAACGCTTTCGGGCCTTCTCTGGTGACTTGCTAGCGAGCAACGTCGAAATAATGCTCCTGAAACTTGAAGCCATTGGATAGGATTTTAGCCAAGCGCTGCATATTCAAGATTCGGCTTCGATGAAAGGTCTCATTTGGATTAGCAGTTTGCAGGGATAGACTTTGTAAGGCTATTAGTTAATTCGGAGATGAGGTGATCGCGGCGCGAATAGGAGAGGTTCACAGAATCAAGAAGCATTTGGATAAATTGAAGGAAATATTATAAGGGTTTATTGCCTTGCTTGATTGCGACGAGCCGATAGGTGATGTGTGCGGTAGGAGCAAGGTGTGAATGAAAGGCTTCGGTACCCTCACCATCATTGCACTGTTGTCTTCCTCGAATAACAATAGTTCTCTCTTATCTACCTCTTTTATTGTTGTGTACAATGACTAAATAGCATCTGATTTGTTTGCCGGCGTACCGAGTTCAAACGTTTCATACGATCATCCCGCGCTCCTACCATCGGAATCTTTTTTATTTTATAAAAAAAAAATCACTTCCTGCCTCTTGCAATGTACGAGATTGATAAAATTTACTACTTGGGCTTGAGGCACTCTCATTTGCCCAAAGATTGCTGCGTAAGCAGGCAAAATGCCTGTCGGCTTTACTACCCCTATTTGCCCAAAGTTTCGAGCAGGTCAACCGCTGAATCGGACATTCAGAGTCTACGTACTTTTTGAGAAAGCCTCAGAACAGATACTTGCTTTTCGACAACTTATATTTTTTGTTATGAAGTTGCAAAATATTGTTTTTGATATCCGATCTTAGCTCAGTTGGAAGAGCCCGAGACTGTGATCGGTTACGTAATATTTTGATGACATCATTTTTGTACCTTTTGTAGGTTTAGAAGTCTGATAATAGCGGAGTCAGAAACTACACTTTCAGCTCCGACCTTAGCTCAGTTGGAAGAGCGCAAGACTGTAATGGTTGCTATCTTGATGCCGCCTGTTCGATCCAGGCAGGTCGGATTGTTTTGTTCTGCTCACTAGATTTGACCGACATATCATATCAGTGAATTTATGGATCGTTTTGATTTGCGAACTGAAATTTGACCGACATAACATATCGGTGAAATTACTACTAAGAGCTATTGATAAAGTGAACGTTATCCTCGACATCGAGCGCTTGAGACCTAAAAGTATCAAAGTCCATGTTCAAAAAGTCTACTTTCTGCAACGAGCGCCAGTCGGCGGTGGTCGTTGTCGCCCACTTGGGATCATTGACGTCGATGCCTTCGATATTGTCAGTGTAAGACTTGAGAATATTGTTGATCCCCACTAGATCCTAAGCGCAAGGTGAGTTGACGAACGAAAAAAGAAAGAAAGAAAGGACGAACCACGTTTGTTGCTGGAATGACATGATCTATCTGATTGCGGGCTTGTGCTCGTTATATATATATATATATAGTGCCTCCGTACGAGGGTCCTGAGGGACTAGAGCGTCGTACTGGGCCTTGATCTCCCTAAACTCCGGTGCGTTGGGACACAAATCGAGCCCGTCGTCGTCGACATCTAGCATATGTATAATCATACGCCTGACGGTTCTGTCCTCAAAATCGCATCCACCATATGGGCAGACGAGGATCTTGTAGCCGGGTTCGTGCATGTCGAGCTCGAGATCCTTCCATGGAGAGTGGTTGATGTGTTTGTGGCGTGTGTAATTGTATGGTGTTGGACCAACATACGAGCACAACTCGCAAGGATAGGCCTTTTCACCAGTCTCCATGTTTGTCTAATAAATTGGTCAGAGACTTGAAGGTATGCAAAAAGCGTAAAGACCGTGAAATGTAAAAAATGGCTCGTCGTTATTCAACCAGAATCGTCGAAATGGTGAATGAACTCTGCGAGTCTTCCAATCTGTCGGACGAAGATGACGACCTGCCGCTCGAAGCCCCCGATATCTCTTCGAAAGATGTGAGTTGTCTCCCCCCTCTGATAAATCCATATTAAATCATGCCTAGATGGCGGAGAAACGCGTTGCGTTCATTTGCGACGCGTTCGACAAGACACCTGATGCGATTGAAGTGATTGAATTCGTGGCCCGCTTGGCTGAACCCCCGACCAAGCAGCAGACTTTCCAAATTGCTGAAGACGATGCGTTGGTTCGTTTGCTTCGCGGATACAACTTTTCCGAGCATGATACGCCTGCCCAAATGGTCGGTCGGCTTTTAGAATTTCACGAATCTGTATCCTTGCAGGGTGACCAGCACAGCGCCTTATACCCTTATGTTCAAAGCAAAGGTCTTTTTACCGACAGCATGGATGCTGAGAAGGAAGCCGATTTGACTGCGCGTTTGCAACGTCGCGAGGACGTTATGGCGTACATCCAAGCCCAAGGCGCAGTCGATGTGGTTTAGAATGGTGTCAACACTGGCAATATGACCGTCCACTTCATGACCGATTGGCGAAAGATGTCGAAGAACAAGAAGTGGAAGGGAGAGCACCGCTGCCAGCTGTTTTCCAAGATTTATCCCAACAGCCAGCACGACGACGCTGCGTTCAAGACCTTTACGGACCGACACGAAAAGGTGATGGCGGCTCGAAGTATGTTTATGAAGATGTTTGAAAAGGTATGTTTGAATTCGTTTCTTCGTGCACGCGCGCTCATGTTTTCTTCAGTATCATGTGGGACCCCATTTGGGTTTCGGTTGCCTCGGACGAACACGGATGAGTTGGCCGTTCACCGTCGTTTGCAAAGGCGGTTACTTTGCTCATGGAAAAGGAGTCCATCACGCAAGATCTTCGCGAGTACAACAAGTGTTCATTTTTGTGGTTTGTTCGTCAGCACATTGAAAAGGAGCACATCGACTATGTAATTAATTTTATAAACGAGTTTCCATAATTAAAGCTAGCAGTTCAGCTCTCGATAGTAATTTGATAGGAAAGAACACTGCAAACATCAATAAAATGTTTTCGGGTTGCTCATCGAAACGCTTACGTTCGACGGCTTGTCATTCGAGCTTTTTGAGCCTATCGGTGTCGACGAAAGGGGTAATGGCTTGGATAGCCCCTCTGATTAGGCCTTGACCGAGGGTCTGACGCTTGCAGTTTTGTCAAAAAAAAGGACCAGTCAGAGAGAGAACACTTAGGGGTTGGCTTTGTGTGCAACGAGCGCGTACCACACATACAGTGTCAGAGGTGATGCCAAAAACTTGTTGGACGCTGATGAGAACCAAGCGTTCCATGTCAAAGGTTTCGTACGATTATGAGACCGTATTAAAGGAAATGGGATGCTGAATAAGAAAAAAGTCGTGCGAGGTGTGAGGCTCCGTAAAAGGTCTCGTACAGCTGCTCAAAAAAGGAAAGAGGATGCCCATCTCTGGATAAGATAAGAAGGTGACTATCTGTAGCTTCGGAGTGTCAAGAACCTCAGTCGTTTGATCGAATTGCTCTCGGATTGAGAGGGTATTACATACCAACAAAGGACCATTCCCTGCGACATCCCAGCGCGTCGGCGTATGACGTAGTTGAAGTTGATCGGATTATTCTTGTTTTGTTAGCATCCTCATTTTATGTGCGGAAAAGCGTCGGGGATGGAGAGAGGATGGAGGAGAGCGCCCATACGCCCCAAAGAGGAAGGTGCCTGAGGGCGATCCCACCTGTTGAAATAAGTCCGAGTCTCACCCCAGCTTCATGGCTGCCTGGAGGAAATATACCACCATATCTTTGGGTTCTCTTCTATGACGGTTTTTTTCTATGACAGACAACCTTGGTATCTCCATGAAATACGATCACAACGCGAGATTGTCATAGACCAACTTGAAGGGCAGCATACCAAACATCCCCTAATTCCAGATATAAAACTCAAGAAGTCGCCGCTAAAATTATCACTTTCGCCAGTTGAACACGTTATTAACGCTCATCATACTTTTAGCCACATCAGGCTATCTCTTTAGATCTCGCTGAATGCATCCATCGTTTTCATTACTTTTACGTTATTTAGAAATCGTAGCGTATATACCACAACGAACCGAAGTATTTCCCCCATATTCCCCAGTCGAAAGCAATTGGATATATAGTGAATTCTGTGTACATATAGTGCAGATAGCAGAAAAATTACAACGAAAACGAAGTCCCGGCTCAACTCTTCAGTTCCACTACAATGTTTATAATCATAATCACTAGGTAACTCAGAATTAACAGTATACCCCATCTCCTCGTGAGGAAGTAATCGTTTAGTGGCACGAAAATCATTGTGGCAGCAAGGAGGAATAACAGACCAAACGAACTGACGTATAGTGTGGTCGAAATTCGAAGGTCGTAAGGTTCACCCGTCTGGCCAATGATGTACGACCCAGAAACTCCAATACCGAGCAAAATGTTGAGCATCGGACCACCGAAGCACGCGGAAAATCCCATAACAGGCGCAAAAGCCTGGAATCACTAATCAATACATGGATCATTCTCGAGAGGCAAAGCGCTTACGGCAACACTCATATTGGCAACAAGGTCAGCGAGCGAGTTTCCAACAGCGAAGATAGTCAAGCCAACGATGGCATCTGAGAGACCAAAGATCATGCCGAATGTTTGAAGTACATTGACCACCTCGTCCGCGATAGCCATAATCCAGACAACGGCAACGAGGAATCCCATTGAGCAACGAGTCATGCGTGCTGCAACGCTCTCTCCTTTGTCGGAGAAGAGGAGGACCAAGACGGCGAGCGCAAAACCGATGCTCCCTGCACCGAGGAGGTAGGCTATCTCGTGTCGAACACCATCTGCATGGTAAATTCAGATCATGTGCATGGCGAGCAAAGGTGAAAAAATCATACCAAAGAGAACTTTAACTACAAATAGCGGCCCGCAAACACACTGGACCGCCATTAGCCATTTTTTGAATTGAATTTGGTGTAGGTTTTCGTCGACTTCCCCCTCAGCAATCAACACTCGCTCCTCCTCATCCTCAAAGTCCACCAAACGAGCATCTGAATCCTGCAACTTCTCGCGTGATCGATGGCTGGATTCGTAGGGTGTTGTTACAACGGGTAGGGTCAAAGTCAACGCGAGCACTGCGGGAGCAGCAAAGATACAGGCAATCTGCGAGAGCTTGCTCTGCTCAAAGAAGTTTGAGAGTGTTGGGAATAGAGTGAAGAAGATTGGTCGCAACGTTGAATACACTCTCTGTCGTTTTGACTGGGGTGAAAATAGTTGTTCTCCGGTGTCAATTTCGGATCCAGATATAGAAGGAGATGCTGGGGTACGCATAATAGATGGAATGCTTGCTTCGGTCTGAGAGACAGCTTGTTGGCCAAAATAATCGGTTGGCTCCGCTAGCGGGGTCGTGACTTGACTATCTTCGAGGATGGTTGTACTGGTAGCCGAAAGGGGACGACGTCCTAAGCGAAGACCCTGCAAGGTTTCCTCATCCATACTAGAGTGAAGTGACGACCGTGGGGTTCTGCCCAACATAGAGCCATAATGACCGCCTGCGTAAGGTGTTACTGGACTCTCGAAAATACCCAGTGCCGTCGAAGAGGCCTCTGTCTTTAACGTCGCCACCACATCTCGGAATTCAAGCGCTCCTATGAGCGAAAAATGCGGCAGTTGAGCAACATGATGTGAAGGTGATGATGAAGGTGAACGGGAATGCCGTCGAGGGTTAAGATTAGTTTGTATCCTGGGTGGATTTGGTGCGGATATCGCGCGAGTTCTTCCAGCCGGGCTGGGCTCGGTTAAAGTTAAATTTGGGAGGGCTGGGGAAGTATGATCGCGTGAGCAGAAAGAAAGACGAAGTTGGAACTATCAGGCTTACGTTCATCACTGTACCTCGGGAAAAGGGCGTCTTCGGCATATTCGCTCCTGATAAGGTCTTCCAATTGTCGCTTGCGTTCGCGTCTGCGTTGCCACCACGACTGAATGACAACAACAAACGCATAGATCACGTATAACCCAACCAAAACGGCTGCCTCCCAACCTTCAATACGTCCATCCCACAAGATGACCAAAACCAGAGCAACGGCTGTTGAGAA